CACATTTGCTCAGAAAGGAATGAGGATTTCAAAAATGATTTTTACTTTAAGAAAAAGCAGTGGCGTAACATATTTTTCTTCAAAAATATTCAATACAAAACCTGTACAGACGCCACTGGCAAAAATAATAAAATTGTTTGTACATCAGAAAATGCATCTCGATGAATAGAAGGCGTGTACTAAATTTGAAAAAATATCTAGGGTAATAGCAAAGTTATCATAAAAAAATGTTTTTTCATAAAACTTTAGCACCCTGCAGTTCAAAAGTTAAGACTTTTAGGACACATGTTCATATGAAGTTGTTTTCTTAAAATGAACTCAAGAATAATCTCCTTAAATATTAGCACGTTAATAAGAAAAAGAAAAAAAAATAGCATTTCGAAAATTACTAAACAATTCACGAAAATTGTGTGTACATTTCAATAAAAATAAGAATATTAACAAAATCAACTAGCTTTGGTAGACCATTGCAAGCATAAGACAATCAATATTGTGATTAACACTTTACTTATTTAATAATCGTATTTTTTCTGTGAATTATGTGCGGAACCTGCCTATATACATGCCGTTGCATCAAAACTAGGTTCAGTTTGGTCAAAAACAAAGACTAGGGCGTTGTGCGACCTTCGCTCACGGAACTAAAACTTGTCCACCGTCTATAATAACAACGCCAACCTTGATAGGACATATTTCTTATTCTGAAAACGTGGGTGAGTCAACAAAGAGTGGCCAGCTAACAGTACGTTGCATTTTTATCGGTATTTTCTTTCATTTAATAGATGAGGTGACGAGCGGGTCAAGTATTCGATCGCCAGATATTGGGAAACACAGGAGGAATCTTCGTAAGGTTCTAAAAATACCCACATCGGTGTATTGTCTATTTTGGTGTCCGGTGATTCACGTAAGTAATTCTTATTCCGTCATGTGGAAGATTACGAAATTTAAACAAATGTGTCTGTGTATTATAACAGTAATATTTTTAACCAACAAAATTAATTAGGTACATCTAAGGACTATTTTTTTCTACTAGATGTAGAATGTATAAACAAAACATAAATCAATCTTTCTAACTTGGGGTATTATAACACTTTATTCACAACGGCGCCATGTCTTTGCAGCGTTTTGTTGGCATTCGCCGTAGATTAATATGATCGTTATTTTCATACACATCCGTTTTGTAATATATGTCACTCACTTAATCCACTTAGGGATATTCATGTGGAGAAAAATTTATAGATCGAGTCATTGTCACAGATACTATCGTCTTTAACAGTTGCACTATAATTCATTTGGACTTAGATATGGAGAAAATTAAGTAGCGCCTCGTAGAAAAAAGACAAAAAAAGTGTTTTAAAGCTTAAGTGGAACAGATTAAAGGAAAAATAATCACATTTACACCTTCAAAATTGAGCCCCAAAATTATAATTTTGGAAAAAAAATTACATTTTTTGCTCTATATAATTTTGGGGCTCAATTTTGAGGGTGTAAATAGAGTGCTGGTGAAATGTGATTATTTTTCCCTTAATCTGTTTAAAACGCTATTTTTTTATCCTTTTTCTACGGGGCGCTACTTAATTTTGTCCATATCTAAGTCCAAATGAATTATAGTGAGCCGTATT